CACACATTCTCTGGGCCCACCGCACCACCTACAAAACGGCGACCGGGGAGACAACATTCACTCTAACATACGTGTGCGAAGCCGTGGTGCCAACAAAGCTGCAGCTTCTGACACTGCGCGTTCGAGCATACAACCCGGAGGAGAACCACTCTAACCTTCTACATCAGCTAAACATGACAGAATAGAGGCGGGAAGCAGCGCTCACGCGCATCATCGCCGAGAAGGAAAGGATAGCGAAGGCATACAACAACAAGGTCAAGACCCGCCCACTGGAGGAAGGGGACATGGTGCTCAAAAGAATGTTTGACAAGAAGGAGAAAGAAAGGCATGGGAAGCTTGCAGCCAATTGGGAAGGGCCTTACCTCATAAGTGACAAAATAGGTCCAAGCACGTACAAGCTCGCCACAATGGAAGGCGAGGCGGTAAGCAAGACATGGAATTCGCTACATTTACGCAAGTACTATTCAGTTGGGGAGGAGATGTAATCATGTCTGTGAATCTCGCTCAGTCAAAGAATCTCGCTCATAAAAACGTCACCCCGAAGGCAGAGCGAGACCAAAGATATCGCATCCCGAGACATGGTCATTCATAACATGCCATTCCATAGGCAGAATGACCGCTCGTGGAATACCCTGAGGGGTAGGATCTCGTTCATAAAACGCCACCCCGAAGGCAGAGCGAGTCCTATGATATCGCATCCCGGGACATGGTCATTCATAACACGCTATTCCATAGGCAGAATGACCGCCCGCGGAATGCCCTGAGGGGCAGGATCTCGCTCATAAAACGCCACCCCGAAGGCAGGGCGAGACAAAAAATGTCGCATCCCGGGACATGGTCATTCATAACACGCCATTCCATAGGCAGAATGACCGCCCGCAGAATGCCCTGAGGGGCAGGATCTCGCTCATAAAACGCCACCCCAAAGGCAGAGCGAGTCCCAAGATATCGCATCCCGGGACATGGTCATTCATAACACGCCATTCCATAGGCAGAATGACCGCCCGCGAAATGCCCTGAGGGGCAGGATCTCACTCATAAAACGCCACCCCGAAGGCAGAGGGAGTCCCAAGATATCGCATCCCGGGACATAATCATTCATAATACGCCATTCCATAGGCAGAATGACCGCCCGCAGAATGCCCTAAGGGGCAGGATCTTGCTCGTAAAACGCCACCCCGAAAGCAGAGCGAGACCAGAAATATCGCATCTCGGGACATGGTCATTCATAAACACGCCATTCCATAGGCAGAATGACCGCCCGTGAAATGCCCTGTGGGGCAGGATCTCGCTCATAAAATGACACCTCGAAGGCAGAGCGAGTCCCAGGTAATCGCATCCCGAGACAAGGTCATTCACAACGGCACGAAGGACAATATCATTCAAAATTTCGAGATAACGCATCGAAAAAAGCATAAGATTATCATTCATGCAAAGGGAGGGAAGCACTAGAGTCTGGATAAAGATAAGCCGCTAGAAAGCGGGAGATTGTCAACAGCAGTAAGAAAAACTAATAATATTACAGACAAGGTTCAACGAGGTCCTGAAAATAAAAGAGCGACACATTCTACATCTCATTCCCGCCTTGGGAAGCAGCCTCATCGCCAGCAGCAGGAGCTTGCGTGTCCTCGGAGTTAACGTCACTTTCTGAAGATCCCCATGCCACCACCGCATCCCACACAGCATTGGTGTCCCACTCGAGCTCGGGATGATCACGACGAAACAGGTGACGAATGGCAGCCACTGTATCGCTTATCGCCTTGGAACGCTTGCGTCGTCGATCTTGCGAAAGGCGGGAGATAGCAAATAGCTCTTCCACCCGATCGCGCAGGCGGGACACGTCGGCCTCCAGGATCTTCTTATCGGCCATCAGACTGTTAACCTTCTGGACACCCCGGGATAGCTCGCTTCGCAAATCTTTGAGGGCATCAGCATGCTCCTTCTCCAACTCAGCTTTCGCTTCCGCCCTAAAGGTTGCGCGCCCCTTGATCGACTCCGCCTCCAGTTCGCTTATCCGCTTGCGCAGCTTCTCAGCCTCGACCCCGTATCGCAGATTTGCCATGTGGAGCTTTTCGTTGGTCATCCCAACCTGGGACAACCCAACCCCAGCCTGTACAGCCAAACAAACTATCAGCACACGCATTGCAAAAGTCATAACCAAAAAATAATTAAAAGGACACTTACAGCTAGAAGGAAGTATGTCGCGGTGCCAACCCCGTGCCGCGTAGAGGGATCGTCTACGTCAGTGTACTCTGACGGCACAAACAGCTTCCCAGATAACTCGTGAAGCATTCGGCGAGCACAATCTTCGCGAAGCGAAGAATGGGGGGAGAAGGCGACAGTCTCTGTTAGGGTGGTGGCCTTTATTTTCTTGCCCCCATCTTCCGGTTCCTCCGCTGGCAAATCTGCCACCCGCTTCCCCGTATCCCGGCTTTTTCGCACCAGATCACCTCCCGTCTGCATGGTCAGCAAACCATCTGCTCCACTCGCGAGTGTAGCCTGTCTTGTAAGCGTAGGTGGTTTGGTGACAGGAAGTAGGGCCTTTAACAGAGCTGAAGGCCCAGCAGATGATCCGGGTTTCGCGACAGTGCCCCCCGGCCTTGAAATGTTCGTTTTTGCGCGGTGAGGAGGTCTGGCCATCATCGCCACGCTTCCGAAGTTCGTGGCTACAAAGAAGAACAAAACAGGTTACACAATGTATAAAGCGTAGTATTCACTTCGATAAGCAAACTAAGACAACACTACTGACCATCTCCGAAGAGTTCAGCCACAATGGCCTCCACGGAATCCGGGCCCCCGGGCTTTACATTAAACGGGGACAGCTCAGCGATCTTGGCAACGTGATCTTTTTGGGAGTCTAAAGTCCAAAGTTTTGCACCTCAATTCTCCTTCCTACTGTACACGAACCCCGTTCGCGGTTCCTTATCGCCCGAGTACCATTTGGTCGACGGCTTGGCATAGAAAAAATCTTTGAACCACGGGGAGTCAAGCTTTGGGGTACCAGTCACGAATCTGTAGGCTTTGTCACGCCTACCGAACGACCAAAAGTTTGACACACGTCGAAGCCCATATGTGAAGCGGAAGGCGGCAAAGGAAGGTTCTAGCCCGAGCCGCTCACATGCGAGTCTGTATGCGCAAGCGTGGAAGATGATGGTAGGCGACAAGCGCCCAAGGGTGCAATTCAGACACAACAAGGTCTGAGTTATAAGGGGATCGAGAGGAAAGCGCAACCCAATCTTTAGCTGTTCCGTGTAAATAGTGATCCATCCCTTGGGACACGTCCCTGCCCTAGAAGTTGCAGAAGGGGACGCGTACTTCCACTCGGTAGGAAGCTTGTAATTCCGAAGGCGGACGAGCACGGTCGCAGGCTTAAGCTTACTATACCTATCCGGCCCAGGGCCTACGGGTATAGGCGCGGACAGGAACTTGGCTCCTCCCCCACATGTGCTCGTGCAGACGCACGGAGTACTCGTCATCCGCCACCGCTCTGTAATCATAGTCAGAGGTATCGTCGGAAAGCTCTACTGAAGGAGAATCGGGACGCTGGGGAGAGTTACGCTCATCAATACTGAGCCCCTCTTCGGAGCTCACGCTCGCCAATGATACGTCGCCAAAACTCGCAAGGTTATCTCCAACAGCCAACGCATCCCCTATATTGGCTACGTTCTCTACGCCTAAACCCAAAGCAACATTCATCAATTCAAAAGATCCATCTCCAGTTCTACCTAGCAGAAATCGACCGTCGTCCGACCAAGAGCCACCGAAATCCGCATCTACCCCACTAAAATTCCAATCAAGTTCGGACATACTAAACGGCGATAATTGGTTCAAGTTTAGCATACCTTGCGCGGCAGCAGTGATCGGGTCCGAAACCGTCTCCGATGAGTCGAGGATTATCGGAGAAGTAGCATGAGCGGCGGTGACGGCGGCGTCGACGGCGGCACCGCCGGAAGCGGTGGCGGTCGCGGAAACGACGGATATGTTCTTCCGTCGTGCCGGTGAGGACCCAGACCCAGTGGACGGCGGCATGCGTGAGGAACCATCTCCAGCCATGATCGAATTTCGTCGGAATCTGCGTTCGCTACAACGATTGACGAAAAGCAAAGGGAGAAGATCACAGCGTCGGCGATGGTTGCAGAGAAAAACGAAGAGGAAGATGAAGACGAGAGCAAACAGTGCACTAACCTTTTTCGATTACTCAGAGGGCCTTTTAAAGCAAGGAGGCGCGGATTCCAGTGGGAGACTCGATAACCCTAGGTAGCCTATATAGGGGGTAATGATCATGGGGTTTTTGAATGTCTGACGGCGCGTCCTTTCGACTGTGTATGGGAAAACGTGTTGTCTGACACGTGTCAGCGCACGGGAAGTACAACGATCCCGAAGCGGGACACATTTGGTTTGACGGCTAGGGGGAAGGCGGTTGTACAACGTACTGGGCCGATGGTTTGGTAAGTATCCCCGCCCTAGACTCAGAAAGTCAGCCGCCTAAACCCAAAGGCTTTACCCGCCTGCGGGACAATTGTTGGGCCACACATGGACGCATACCAAACCAGCGGCCCAATAGGTTAGAAGCCCGACCCAATATGCAAGGCTCATTATCAATTACACCGGAAGCGGGTAAAACGCTACGGAGATCGTGGGCAGTAAATGTGTACAGAGGATGGGACGGTTGTCAGTACCAACCTGGCCAGACTGACAGTTGCATTAAATGCCGCCGAAGGCGTAATCATGGGAGTTAACGTTTAATACACGCCAAACAGGGCACTAAGGGCTGACACAAGCCATAGTCACATATAATTAGGAGCCAACCACCTCATTTAATGGTAATCAATCTACCCCCTCTCTCTCTAAACACTGACTTAATCTTCGGAGAGTGTCCACAGGGCTCCCGCCCCGGACCTTTTCCGCAGGTTAGCCTCCCCGTTCAAGGAAGTGCTCAACATCCTCGAAAGCCCTTACTAAATCCCGCCTGGCACATTCTAGGCATAAACAGTAGCGATGGCTGCCCCTTCTGTGACCTTAAAAAAACACAGAACCATATCTTTCAGGAGTGTGGTGGGGTTCAAAGGGTTTGGAGGCCTAGTTCACTTATTTCTATGTTCAATACGGGCCGGGATCTTACCTCTGGAATGGGTGTGCGAGCGGCAAGAGAAGGAGACAAACGAGCAAATTGGGTGATTCTTGGTGGCACTGTGGTTTATCTGGGATCAAAGGAACTGTCAGATGTGGAACAAGCTGAAGATGGAGGAATGGGAGATAATGGGTCGAGCTGAGAGATGGATCGATGAATACCTGAAAGCTCAATGGAAAAGGGAACCCAACCTAGGCGGTGTATTGGAGAAATGGACCGCGTCGCGCGACGTAGAACTCTTAGTGGGTAGGGGTGGGCAACCGGTTCGGTAAACCCGAACCGAACCAAAACTGAAACCGAATTAAACCGAACCGAAACCGAAATAATGCTATTCGGTTCGGAATTCGGAAGGGAAATATGGATATTTCGGAAACCAAGGTTCTTCCAACCGAACCGAATTTCCGACCGAAAAACCGAAATACTATAATTGTAAGCTTCAAATGGTGGATTTTTATGTTTGTAGTTGTTTTTAGACTTAAATATTTGAAATATTTTATGACTTATGTGTTGAAAAGTTTGATTTTTCATTGATGATGCATATAATTACATATTTATTGTTTATATTAGGGGTAAAAAATAATTTATAAGTGAGAAAATACAAGTAGTCTTACAAATTCGGTTTTGTGTGAAAAACCAACCCAACTGAATTATAATTCGGTTTAAACCGACCGAACCGAATAATTCGGGTTGGAATTCGGTTTGAGATTTGGAAGAATTCGGGGACCCGGTATTCATAATTTTGGTTCGGTCGAAACCGGACCGACCGAATGCCCACCCTATTAGTGGGGAAAGAAAGAAGCACAAAGCCGGAACTGGGTCGGGTTTGCGAAGAAATCAAGAAGAAGGCTGTTGGGCTGAGCTCGGTTTTGTGGGAGAATGTGGGAAGAAAGATGAATGAACCGGGCCACTGTTTGGCCCATTGAGAGTGTGATTGGGAAAGGGAGAAAATTTGGGTAGATAGTCCACCACATTTTCTTATTCCCCTCTTACAGAAAGATGAAGATATACCTACTCATTCCCATTAATTAATGAAAGCAGGACGTTTATCTAACAAATTATGGAGAATTATATTTAACAAGTAAAGCACGACCCAATTGCTTAAGTCTTAATTGTGTAGATTGTCAAATTCAGGTTAACAACCTTGTACGTAAGCATTTGGCATGTTATAGCCTTATAGGGTTCAATTGCAAATTAATTGGTCTAACTATATTTGGCCTGCCCTCCTAATACAACCCATTTTTCGTAATTTCTAGCTCAGTCACGATTCAATTTCGCTCATGTGTTCAGAGTTCAGACCATCTCTCTCTAAATAATATGCTCGAATGTCGATCAAGGAAATTTTAACCAAAGACCCGAAGTTATTGGCAACAACTTCGAACCTCGCCATCAAAATTCCCACATGCAATTTCAGATTGTTCATTTCTCCGTGAACCCTCCACCATTCCCCTCGTTCTTCGTTCAACCACAAGTTACCTCCTTGGATTTCTCTCTGATATTTTTGTTCTTCTTCTTACCTCAATCGCCATTTTGTATCATCTACTTTCGTCTCAATTCATTTATATGATTTCATGCCCGTCTTTTCTTCCTCTAGTTTTTTTCATTTTGGTTGGGTTTTGGGATTAATTTTACTTTTCCTAATTGTTGAGTTTCAAATAAACTTGGTTGTGTTGTCGACTTTACCATGTCAACAGGCGGCGGGGGCAATCAAATGATAACCATCATTCCTGATGAGCTCAAGTTTGTGTGTAAGTATATAATTTTTTGTTCTATTCTATGCTTTTTTATGCGGGGAATTTTCTCGTCATAAGAAGAAGATGAAATAGACACTTGTTTATCGTGATCTAAGCATAATCAAAATCGCAACTAAGTATTGTTACTTTGATCTAGCATAATTGGATTAGTGCACGTTTGTTTCCGATCTTGTATCTTTAACAGCTAATACATTCGACAAAGTACGAATCTTGATCTAATATCGACAAATTTATTTTGAACTAATGATGCGACGATAATTTTGGAAGGCTGAATACAAAAAGGCATGAACATGTTCTCTTAAGTGACATCTAGAGACAGTTTCACCCCATTCAACCACATTCTTAATAATGCATTAATCTTATTACATAGTGTTACAATTCTTTTTGGTTGTGAAATCAGTTGAGGTGGAAAAACAGAGCTTCTGTGATCTTAAAGTCGTTAACAACACAGAGAATCATGTTGCTTTCAAGGTACAGTGTACCCATTAAGAATTTTTTTTTTTACAAGGAAGTTAATTATGTTTTTTCTAGCATTCGTCTAAAACTATGTTCCTCTTTGCAATTAGGTCAAAACTACTTCACCTAAGAAGTACTTTGTAAGGCCAAATACTGGAGTTATACAGCCTTGGGACTCTTGTGTCATCAGAGGTAAAGATCCCGTTGTTCAATTTCTATCCCCTCTTGGATACATTTGCAGATTTTTAACCCAAATCGCAAATCCAACTCAAACCCAACTCGTTGAAACGATCATATACCTGTAGTAACCCGACGTTAACTAACCTAACCCGATGGTCAATTCATCGCCTATTATGATCCAACATGCTTGACCAAGATTATGCTAATGTCTGGATTTGTATACAATTTATACATGCAGTTACATTGCAAGCACAAAAGGAGTGCCCACCAGATATGCAATGCAAAGATAAATTCTTGTTGCAAAGCACAACAGTGCCTCAGCTTACTGATGTAGACGACCTCCCTTCAGATTTAGTAAGAATCTAATTAACATGAACAGTAATAAATAGAATTTTCTTCTTCTTCTTCTTCTTCTTTGTGCACATTAGTTTTAGTTATAATATATATCTGCCTTGCCAGTTCACCAAAGAAAGCAATGGGAAGGTGGAGGAGTGCAAGCTCAGAGTTCTATACATTCCTCCCTCATCCACAGCTCAAGGGAATGGAGAAGAAGATGGTCTCAGTAGCTGCAGACAGAGCTTTGATGGCAATTTCGTGAGTTCATTTCTTGATCAGCTCTTGATGTTAGTCAGGGGCAGGCATGGTCTCCTCTGGTCCAGAATCGAAGAGTATCGAAAATTGGTCGCACCCAAAAATAAAGGGAAATCGAGGGTCAAAATCGATTAAATGTGCATTTGGTTTGATTTAGTTCAGAGTATACATTGCATTTTGATTCATATTTTTACTGTTGTTTTGAGATAATTCTTGGTATCATACTCTAGCCTATCCGATTGATTTCATAAGATGTGTTCCATCAGGCATTGCAACGGTTGAAAGAAGAAAGGGATGGAGTTGTAAATAAGACACAACAGTTGCAGCAAGAACTAGTGAGTTCCGATTTTTGTCATTGGTACCTTGCTTAATAAGTAATGCACATATACGTCCCATATACAGTACTATTGACATTTTAGTATATCTAAACCTAAGTGATATATTGAGGAGGGTTGTTATGGCACTTTTGGGATACTCAATTAGGTATCATAAAATTAGAAGATTTGCTTACCTTTGGTATCCAATAGATATATTTTTAAACAAAAGAACTGTTCATTTGATTTAGGATTTGTTGAAGCGTCGAAAATATCCAGAAAAGGGTTCGGGATTCTCAATCACATTTGCATTGGTGGCGGGGCTTATCGGCATCGTCCTTGGTGTTTTGATCAAACTTTGGTTTTCTTCTCCATCAGCTGTAGAAAATACAGAGATTTTGACAGAGATTTTAACGCCACCACCAGAATTATAAGTTTTTTTTTTATTTTTTCCAGTTTTCCATAATCTCCGATATATTTTTTTAGCCCTGCATTTGATCTTGTTTTGTATGTTAAAAAAAGATAAAAAAATACAATGATGATGGATGAATCCTTCTCCTTTGTTTTAATTTTTTTTGCGATTTTTTGTATATTGATCATTGCAAAAACATACAAAAGAATTGTATGATATCTTATTGTCGGTTGCGCGTTACCATTATTTAGAATTGTTATAAATCTTACTTGTATTACTTCACAGATTCATTGGAGAAACACATTAATAAGTCTAGGATTATCATTGTTTAGATTCATCATTTGCAAGGTTAAGTACTACCCAAAAAAAAAATCATTTGCAAGGTTAAGGACTCAAATGGATATTTTGAAACTTTAAGAACTTCCAGAACTAAAACTTGGCGTTTCTAGGATTGAAATAGATATTTTTACCTCAAGTGAGAAATGACAAGGTATTGGCGGGAAACTAGCACGCTCCAACTCTCAAAAAAGGGGAAACAGGCAAATCTCCTAAATCCCGCGCCCTTCCCAAATCTCTATCCCGCTCCTTTCTCTCTCTCTCCATCTCCATCTGCAAAATTGGAGAAAACCAGTGGATCTCCAGCTCCGCCGCCGTTACCGGAACCTCAAAGCTTCCGGTTAAGTGCTATTTCTCTCCTCCAAACTCGCTATGAGAACTCACTCACCCGTCGCCGGACACGAACTCGCCGTACGGGAGCCGCTCTCCGTCGTCACCAACACCGCCGCCGCGGGCTCCGATTCTCAAAAGGCATGGCACCTTCTATATCTAGTTTTTTCAATCGGCCGACCGGCGACGCTTCTGGAGGTAGCATCTCGCTGCGCTCCATTCCGAGCGACGCCCGATCTAGTCCGCAGTCTTTGCTCGCTCCTGGACTCGCCTATCGCGTTAACCTGCAGTGGCCGAAACGGCGCCTGCGTGACCGCTTCTATGCTCGGCCGGCAGGCCATTAGGAGGTTCTGGTCTAATTCCGAGTCGATTCACCGGTTTCTGATTTTGATTGGTGTGGGATTGGGCGTTGATTTAGTCGGAGGATCGCCGCCGCTTCAGGATTCAGTGAGGATTTACTTCAATAAAAGGAAGCGCATCGGATTCGTCCCTCAAGGAGACGGTGAGGTTTCTTCGCCATTTCCGCTATTTCATTTCCCTATCAAATTGATTGATTCTGCGTTGGTTCTACTTTTGTCTTTCTTTTGCCCTAATTTTTGTCCTTCATTCATGTACATGGCCGCTTGCAGCGGAGAATGAAGATCCAAATGTTTCTCGTCCTGTCAAAAGAATTCGTACTGTTGGATTGAAGGTATTCCCGCTATATCTGCAGCCTTTGCTGGTTTAATTACTGGATTTCAGAGTTCAGGCATTTCCATTAGTAGTATGAGAGTCAGTACAGCTCAGTTTCTTAAATCTAGTTGAATTCTGTTCAATTTCAGGTTCCTTTCTTTTTGTCGAAATTGATGGAAAGTAGCGTAAGTAATTTGACTCCGTTTCCAGAATGCTTTCCAAAAACCGTAGTCAGTAGGTTAGATTATAGACTGAAGGACAACAGACATATAGAAGATGAGTACGATCTAACTGCAATATCGGAAGGAGATGAGGAGAAAACAGTTTCTAATGCTGAGGTTTCCGAGGAGTTTTGTATTCAAGGTGTGAAAAGTGACGATCTCATGGAAGTCATGCTAAGTACTATGGCACTGATTCCGGAATGGTCTCCAGAAATTGTTCTCAGTAGATTAGATTGTAGACTGCAGGATGCCAAGCAGATAGAAGATGAGCATGTTTCAACTGCAATAATGGAAAGAGAGAAGCAGAAACCAGTCAGTTCTGATGGGCATATGGACATAATGGTAAATGATAGAGTTCATGTTCCAGAATGCTTGTTGAAAACAGTTGAAAGCAGTTCAGACTCTAGATCGAAGGATGCCATGCAGCTAGAAGATGAGCCTATTCCAACTGCAATAGTGGAAGGTAAGGTGCAGAAAGCAGTTGCTTCAGCTAGGAAAGTTGATAATCATGAATCAGACCGTGATGTTATAGTAAATGAGAAGGTAGAACACTGCATAAGAAGCAATATAGAAGCTGGAACTTGCAATAGAGAAGTCCAGGATAGTACTATGATTCCAGTGGAGTGTGAGATGATTGTTAATGACTCCTTTGATTCCAGTAATAAGATCGGCGATGAAGGTTTAGAGATCATACATGATAGAGAAATTGAGTTCGGTGGAACTCAAACAGAAGCTGGAACAAGCAGTGTGGCACTAAAAACTGGCCTTTGTGGCATGCCAACTGCAAATGGATGTGAAGAAACGAAAATCGAGGCAACTTCAATAAAAGAACTGGTTACCATTGTTGGTAGCATTCAAACAGAAGCTAGACCTAGCATTGCAACACTTAAAACTGGCCTCTGTGGCATGCCAATCGAAGATGGCTGTGAAGAAAAAAAGATGCAGGAATGTTTGAAAAAAGAGCTAGTTACTACTGATACAAACAAAGAGGATTGCTTTAAGACACTTGATTTATCTGTTACCGAGAAACATTTGCAGAAGTCCTCTGCCAAGACTAGGTTTGCAAAGGGAAATAGAATGTCTTCAAGGCATCAAGCTCTCCGCAAGTCCATTGATAAAGTCAAACCCGAAAGCCCGGTCAAAAGGCAGCAGGGAAATGAGCACCACATAAGACATTCCATTCCCCCAACTTCAAAGCGAAAACATGACGATGTGCAAGCAAGAGAAGGAAGGAAGGATGCTGCTGCTGCTGCCACTTCCAATGTAAGATCTAATACAGAAAGCTGTGTAAATACGTCTAGTTGTATGTTTAGTCATTACACTGGCGTATTATCTTGGGGGTGATTATATAGTGAAGTTGTGCCATTAGTTGACTAGATTTGTCTTTGTTTGTAGGATCAAGTCGAACCGAAAGGCCTACCTACCTTTGAATCATACATTGTTGACGAGGAGGAAGGTTCAGGTACGAATTTGTTCTCTTTCTGGGTTAGTTTCTCCTTGTAGCCACATTCTTTTGCATTGTATTGCTAATTTGGAAATCCAAACTTTCAGGTGGCTATGGTACTGTATATAGGGCAAGGAGGAAAGGCAATGGAGGGACTGTTGCCATAAAATGTAAGTGCATATAGATTATGCTCTTTTTTCTAATTCCTCTTTCTGGGATTTTTTATGGTTCTGACTATCTATCTATGCAGTCCCTCATGCAAATGCACATAAACAGCATGTTACCAATGAGCAAAGGATGCTGGAGAGGTTTGGGTAAGGCTTGGACAAAAGTTCCATATAAGAAAAAATCATGCCTTTCCATTTTGTCTCTTTAATATGCTATAGCATGTATATAATTCAGGGGTAGAAACTATATCATAAGATATGAAGGCCATTTCAAGAGTGAAAATTCCGACTGTTTTGTTCTGGAGCATGTTGAGCATGATAGACCTGAGGTATTGAAGAAGGAAATTGATCTGGTTCAGATCAGGTGGTACGCATATTGCCTATTCAGAGCACTTTCCAGTCTTCATAAGCAGGCAAGAGTGTTTCCGCCATACCGAGAGTTTATCTTGGGCTCTTTACTTCTATCAAAGATCCTTATTTTGAATGGCGTGACTATTTTTTCAGGGGATTGTTCATAGAGATGTCAAACCTGGCAACTTTCTTTTCTCTCGCAAGGCTAATAAGGGTTATCTCATTGATTTCAACCTTGCCTTGGTTAGTAATACTAGTCTGTTATGTTTCATCTGTCTGACGATGTGTTCCACTTGAAATGTTACTTATAGTTGCTTCCTTTGCTTTGCAGGATCTGCACCAGAAGTGTGGAGCAAATAGTAAGTTTCTTTCTCCAGAAATCTGTATGACAATATGCGAAGTATACTTACCATGTTCCGCTTGATCCCTTTGTCAGACCTGTTAGATTTTTTGGGGGTCGAATGATATGAGGTCGTAAGTGGGAGTGGACAATAATCTGTTCCACTTTGGATCGGATTTATATTCCGATAAATTAATTTTTATTTGGTTTCGATGTTCAAATCCATGAGTTTTTTGGCTCAGATTATGTAGGTTCTGTTAAACACAACAGAAAAGGTTGACTTAAGTGAAACCGAATCCGACGTAATCAAGTAGAATGTTCTTATGATGTATGATTTTTGGCTTTTTTTTATGTTGTATGGAGTTTTGTTGGGGGTGCCTAGAGTGTAGGTGAGCAGGTTTTGAGTTCTTGTCTCCTCTGTCGTGTCCTTTTACTGATGTGCAGTTTAGTATCTTTTATAAGTAGTGCTGGGACTTTATAGGTCAGTCCCTTTGTACTGCTGCAGTTTTTGCAGACTTGCTGTCTTTGTTTCACTGTCTTCTGTAATTTCCTTTTCATCACCATTATAAAAAAAAAGTCGAATGTTCTTGTGATCACACTATGATCCTTAATTTTCTTCATTTTTTATCCGGCCTGATTGGACCAGCCCGGTCGATGCCTACTCTTAGTTTTGTGTTCTGAACTCAGAGTGGGTTAGATATTGATCTAACAATACAAGCTTACATACGATAGTGGAGTCATAGTATTACTACGATCTCGTAAAATTGTGATGATAACGCTTTTCTTCGGATCCTGCAGCCAAATTCAGGACCGGGAATGACAAAAGTTTCAGCGATGCAATGCTAAACAAGTCAGAACCTTTTCAACCTGTCAAAGCTGGGAGGGCTCAGAATCTGAAGTCTTTGGATGTAAGTCGTGAAGAATCTAAAGGCTCAAAGACCTGGAAAAAGAAGGCTGGTAACGCTTTGAAAGCTCAGAATGACATGCGTGGATGGAATCTCACACAAAGTCAGGGAGCAGAAGGCTCAGGGGTAACATCCGTGAAAGACTTGACCAGTAATAGGACTCCTTCAGCCGAAAGGCTAAGAGAGCCTTTACCAAGCCACGGCAGGAAGGCGCTCCTGAGTTTGTTGCATGAAACAATGAACTCCCCGAATCACGAAGCATCCAGCGCTCCATCTTCTACGAGGAAGAGGGTTGCAGCTCCTCCTTCGAAGGTTGATGGAAGGCTTCTTTATGTCTCTCCAATGCCTTTGCAACCTTCTGGGATGGCTGTCACACTTAATGGATTTACCAAGGGCAAAGGTTAGTAATCCTCATGCAGTTTGGATTGCCAAAACACTTTTCCCGTTTACCTTAGTTAATAATATCTGCTATTTTTTTGCTGATCATTAGACGGGAAGTTGAAGAAAGAAGGTCCTTGTGTGGGAACAAAAGGCTTCCGTGCACCAGAGGTGAGTAACTAACTAGCTAAGTTGGTTAATGTAGCTATGAATGTACTTAATTACGATACCATTATTTAACAATCTGAACCCTCATGTCGGAATGGTATTGATGCAGGTGTTGTTGAGATCACAGTATCAAGGTCCCAAGGTTGATTCTTGGTCAGCTGGGGTAACCTTACTGTATCTAATGATTGGAAGAACGCCTTTCTATGGTGAACCTGAACAGTAAGTTTCGGAGACTTGATTTTCTTAATATGAATTTTCAGAGACTTGATTGAATATATCTGTCTTGGGTTCTTAAATCTCTCATTTTATGCTATGCTGATGCTGATCTATTGTTTTTTTTTTTTCAGGAACATAAAAGAGATAGCAAAGTTGAGGGGTAGTGAAGATCTCTGGGAAGTTGCGAAGTTACATGACCGTGAATCCTCGTTTCCACCGGTATGTGAAACCATATTCTATATGCAACTTCTGATGTGAAATGTGGGGCAAAATTTAGGGTAGGGCTATAGTTCGGTTCATTCTCTCCAGTGAAAGCTTCTTCCAAATATGAAAAAATACTCGGAAGTGATTCATGGACTCGTTGCTATTGTACCTGCAGGAACTGTACAACGCTCAATCCCTACAATCTCTACCACTCCGGGAATGGTGCAAGATCAATACAAAACGGCGTGGCTTCCTTGATCAGATGCCTTCATCACTGGTCGACCTCGTTGACAAGTGTTTAACCGTAAACCCGAGGTCCAGAATCAGCTGTGAGGATGCTTTGAAGCATGAGTTTTTTGCTCCACTGCATGAGATAATCAAGAAGCACAAGCTTGCTCGTGAGGGCGATTCGACTGCAGCAGCTGGACCGGGCACCACCAGGGTTCCCTTGCACAAACGAAACTCGGTCGAGCCCTTGGCCAATCTCATTTGACCATGGATCCTCAATGGTTGAATCGTTTGTTGGTTATTATTAGGTTAGCCAGCTCCCTAAATATCATTGTGATGCTTCTAATTGACTGAAATGTTGTGTAAAAATGCCTTCACTAACATGTAAGCCTTCTTAGTTTTTGAACTTTTGATCTGGTCTTTGTCAAAAAAGTGACGAAGCTCCATTTGTAACATTGTGGTTGTAATTGTAGTTGTAGGCCGGTTGGGAAACTAGCAGTTAATTAATGTTGTAAATTTAGTTGCTCTCTCTTTCATCTCTTCAGATCGGATTAAGCAGTGGCAAATGTCTAAAACTTTATCCATCCTGATCAACTGGCTGAAATAACTCAATTGGTCTTGATTTCATTACTGAAATCTGTTTGAGCCAGCTTGTTTTCAATAAAGAATTTGAACAGACTAGCTCTAATCCCTCTGATATTGAATATAGGACCAAGGATATAATAGAATCAGTCCATCCTAACAAAAAATGAGATTATCTCGCCCTCCAAATCTTACATGGCTCTGAGCATGCGATCTAGTCTGGTTTTCAGGTTACCTGCAACAGGAAAACCGCCTACCTTGCCAAGAAAACACGGCTCCCTGTTGGAGTTGTGTGTTACACAGATTCAAACATAACAGCTGTTCGCTAACTAACTTGTGGGGAGGGCACTTTATTTTGCTCTCTTTTGGTCGGATACTCGGGCTCCAGCAATCTTCACAACTGGCTGTTCTTCCTGCGGTACGGGCTTCAATGCAGGATGAACTTTGAGATCACCCACCAGCAATTTTTCGCCAACATCCAACTCGCTTAGGTCTACTTCGATATACGGAGGGATGATATCTGCTGGGCAGAGGAACTTCACCGTCCTCTTAATCACATTCAAGTACGAACCTGTTTGAGTTTGTTTCAGAAAAACATTGACCATCAGTACATAGGACATGAATAGAGATCTCGTACAGAAATGCTGAAATGGAGTCAAATTAATGAGTTTCGGTGTCACAACTCACAAACTACTTGTGGGGTTTTCCTGCCAGAAGCAACTTATAATATGACTGGTTTGTCAAAGTAATGGCATGTACCACTTCTAAATACTAGCTGTTTCTGAAGTACATGATAACCATACAAACGTAGCACTGTCTATACAAGAGAATTTCATGTACGATATCCATGATTCTAGCGCATAGAATGGATTAAAAAAAAAAACAATACACATCTTGTTCTTTGCAGTGTAACATAAAAGTGAGAACAAAAAATGATCCTAACAGCCAGAATAGCAGGATGCTTTCCATAATGGAAACAGCATTTCACCATCACATTACACTAGACAATGACATTCCCCTCTGACCTTTCTAGACTCTAACTTCTATGAAGAGATAAGACTCCTTTTTCTAGCACAGGAGTTTTGTTACATAGAAAGGGTGTGAATAAACATTAATGCAGATTGCCCTGTTAAATTCATGCAATCTCTCTGTCATTGTCTAACAATAAGCTTAATGAAATCTCGAGTCTGTGACCCCATAAATTTTAAATCTAATTCAGCATATGATCTACAACTCAAATTGGAACCTTAGGGCATTCCTACTCTAGCGGTAAAGGCAGGGTGGCTTGTATCAGCGTTTTCACCACCTCAGCTAGTCGAGTAATAGTTCTCCTAGAGGTTACAGATGTTGCCAAGACGAGGGCAGAACAATTATATAAAAAATTCAAGAACCCTCAAGTGATCCAATCCATTTCTGGCAGTTTGTGTTTTACCAACATCATCACAGTTGTCACCAAAGAATCTCAGGTTCTCTACATTCACAATAAACTCCTTCAATGTTAAAAAAAAAAAAAAAGAGGAACCATTAAAAAAGAGAAAAGAGGAAAGGCATATCAATTCTCAAATCGCAAGTCCAATTCTGTGAAGTCTAGGAAAATCTTCCGAAGGTAAAGCTTGAGATGAAATCATAATGAATTAAAAGGAATGACTCATTTGCAAAAGTACGATCCACGTGAAGTATGTCCGAAGATAAATCTTACCAAAAGCATGGTACTTCTCATGCAAGATCTAAATCACCCATATGTTATACTTCCTCTGGATAAATACCTAACGAACTACTCTTAACAGTAAGAATAGAAACACCAGAAAATTTACTATCCTAGAACTGAATAACCATGCTAGTTATAACTAATGCATAGCCAAGTAGTTCCAAGGCCGGATGACATGGTATAAAGGAAAACCACACATCGAATCACTCTCGGCAGTACACAAGTGAATCATTTGTTCAAGGCACTTAGCAAATGCAATCGCACATATAGGAAAATTGAATACCGGCAATAGGATGCAGCTGAAACGAACTTCAACTATGCTAAAGAAAAAAATAACACTAGCACATACACTACAAATTAAGAAGCTAGATTACAAATTCCCAATACTAGAGCACTGAAGATTGAACCTAACACCAGCAAATTGAACCTAGCATTCAAAAACTCAAATATAGCCCTCAAATTGTCATCTCACTGCACAGGAATCAGATGCCTAACCTTTCCTGAGTCCAGGAGACACGTCATCTCCTATGAACACCAGAGGAATATCAACTTTCAACAGAGCCTCTGAAGGTGCCCTTATGAAGGTTACGTTCAACGGAACATCAGTTCCAGAGTGCAAATGTAGCTGCCAAACAAATAAAAGCAGAAAAATGTTGATTCAGGTACTCTTAAACACCAATTCAGCTCAACAATAATTCTCAACCAAATGCCCCCCATTAACATACCAATCTCGGCAAGACGCGAACTTTCTCAATAATCTCATCCTCCTTGGCAAAATCGCTCCTGACCTCGAGATCGAAAAGCCTCGACAGGAAGAACGACCTCCCAACCTTATCCACCAAATTCCTGATGCGATTCGACTGCACCGATATCAACCGCTTGTTGCCCCCATGCTGCCCGTCTTCCTGCTCGAACACGATAGCGGGCACCCTCCCGACTTTCCTCTCCTTGGCGGAAATGTTCTTCCCGGAAGAAGCTCGAGGGATGGCGAGAATCTTCTCGGCGGGGCCGGGCTTCGGGAACCCTGCGAGGTAGGTGATTGGCGCTTGGATTGCTGGCTCCTCGACGATGACGGCGGCGGCGGCGGCCGACTGGGAGAAGAAGCGGTGCTGGAGGGTTTTCGCGAGGGCGCTGCGATGGACCCTGTACATTGTGAAATGAGAAAGTGGGTAGGGAGGAAGGACGGCGAAGGGTTTAACGGGAGAGGTTTTCTCCGGGTTTTTGCAGCGTCGCGATTTTGGGGAATTTCACTTTCCCGTTTACCCCCCTCGAGGTTTGATTTGGAGGCGACGAAGAAAGATTGGCATAATTACAGAACAGTCATTTAACTTTTCCAATTACTCACAAATGAACTTTAATTCCTAGCAAACTTGCTATTGTATTTTTTTTAACATAGTCAAAACCAGACATAAGTCCGGTGCAAAGTCAAAGTACAGAACAAAACCACGGGCGGAAGTCGACTAATCGCCGAACTTCCGATGAGAGAGCGTTTTGGGCCACAAAATGGGCTGCTCTATTAACTCGACGAGTAACAAGGGAGCAAGAACAAAACTCGAGTCTCCTTGTTAACTGACGAGCGAGGATTGCCCCAGCCGAAGCATGAAGAGAGTCTCCCGCCAAGAGAAGTCGAACCACCATATGCGATTGACCATGAAAATTGATAGACAAAAAACCATGCGTCAGACACCAATCTAGTGCGTCACGGAAGGCTAACAAATCGGCAATGAGGGAATCAGTAATGCCTTCATAGTACTTACCCATAGCACAGAAGAGTTGGTTAGAGGAATCCAACCCGACGAAACCGACACCAGCACCTCTACCACGACGAGAGAAGCCATGAAAGCCCACCGTTATTGCCGGAGAAAGAGAACCCGTACCTCCCGGAGCTTGAGAGGACAAAACTCCCAAGAGAGGGAGAGGAGCAGCCCGAGGTACGCGGCGCATACCAGCAGCATCCACCGACGAGTTATCCTGAGAAGCAACGAGCCATTCATCTCTTTGAGCCGCAAACTGACGGGCCAATGCAGAAGGTAAGTATTGGATACCCCCATGCACTGCCCAACATCGACCCTTCCAGATCCTCCAAAATAGAAATATGACCTCAGCTATCTGCGCTTTAGATAACTGCAAGGAGAAAAACAAATGTTTCCATGAGAGATCCCAATCCAAAGCTTCCAGATGGAAACGAATGTGGTCAAATCCTGCCAAAGCCCAAACACCACGCGCAACCCGGCAACGAAAGAAGCAATGGCCAAAAGACTCCACGCCATCCGAGCACACCGGACAAGTTGCTGAGTCTACTACTGTCTTGCAAAGGAGAACAGTGAGGATGGGAAGAAAACCCCTAGCCATCCTCCACGCGAAGTTACGGAGCTTCGGAGGCAGCGGTAAGCTCCATAGCAGTTTCCAAAACCTACAATCATAAGGAAGCACTGGGGGAGGGTGAAGAGCATTCAACTCATTAGTGAGCACCTGGTAACCTGACTTGACCGTATATTCTCCTGAAGGCGAGTAGTGCCAAATCATCCTGTCTTGGGAAGAATGACGAGGAAGAGGAATACTCATAATGAGCTGCACCGTGGAGGAGGGGAAAAGAGAAGATAGTAGAGGTTTATTCCAACCCCCTCCATCACTGAAAATCAAATCGGCCACCCGTAGGGAAGGACGAATAACACCCGCCAACAGGGACGGAGCTGAAGGTGGCGAAGTGGGCAACCAGTGGTCCTCAAGAGCACGAACAGAAGACCCATCCCCTATCTGCCAACGAAGTCCACGCTTGAGTAAATCGCGACCCTCCAAAACACCTTGCCAAGCCCAGGAAGGCCTGTTTCCTTTCGCAGCATCAAGGAAATGCAAATGAGGATGATATCTGACTTTGTATAACTTGGATAAGCAGTGGTCAGGGTTCCGAAGCACTCGCCAAGCCTGTTTAGCAAGCAAAGCCACATTGAAGCGATCAAAATCCCGAAAACCTAGCCCCCCAAGATACTTACTCTGACAGGTTGCGGTCCAAGATAGCCATCGGATGCCAGTTTCTTTGTCCTGACCAGCCCACCAATAGTTAGCAAGCAAACTATTGCAACGCCTACAAGTCCAAGAGGGAAGACGGAAGGAAGACATTGCATAGACAGGCGCAGCCGAACCAACAACTTTGATGACAACCTCCTTCCCTGCCATGGACAAAGCTTTCGACTTCCAACTCCGGATACG